CATTCTCCATTTAATACTTTTTTTATTTTTTAAAGATTTTATTCATTTATTTGACAGAGAGAGACATAGCAAGAGAGGGAACACAGCAGGGGGGGGTGGGAGAGGGAGAAGCAGGCTTCCCGCTGGGCAGGGAGCCCAATGCGGGGCTCGATCCCAGAACCCCGGGATCATGACCTGAGCTGAAGGCTTAACGACTGAGCCACCTAGGTGCCCCTCCATTAAATACTTTTAATACTGCTTCCCCACCTCCTTTTTCATGAATTTTGCCAAGCCAAGTAATATTATAGGTTATATGTTAAATAATTAAATATATTAACATCTATTTAAGACATTAAACAATACACATTTCAATAAGGAATTGACCCCGACTGTGAAACACAAAGCATTTGTCTCTTAATCCCATTAAGAAGTAAATAAACTCAGATTTATAAATAAAATTTGTCCTATAGGTGGGAGTGGCGTCCCTCACCCTCACCCCTGTCTTAATGAATGAACGTCCTAACTTCAGAATGCCCTTGGATGGCTTGTGACATCCCCTTAAGAAAGTCATTTCTGGAGCAGTGTGTGGGTGCGGGACGGAGTGTTCTCCGGGTGTTTGCCTGTGTCCTTTGTCTGCCCGCAGGAGGATGCATGCACATGAAGTGCCCACAGCCGCAGTGCGGGCTGGAGTGGTGCTGGACCTGCAGCTGTGAGTGGAACCGCGCCTGCATGGGAGACCACTGGTTCGACGTGTAGCCTCAGCCCCGCGAGCGGGCGCCCCCTGCCGTCCAACTTGGAAACGTACAAAGGGTCCTGCCATTCCCTGCTCTTTCTCCAAACTCCCTCTCTCTCTCTCTCTCTTTCTCTTTCTCTCTCACGCATGCACACGCACACACACACAGACACAGCACCCCTCAAGCTCCTTCCAAAACCACAAAAACAAAGTTACAGGAGAAGATCCTGGGATCCCTTTCTTTGTGCCCTCGAAAAACAACAAGAAGTATTCTCGGGCCTCAGCAACACACAGACCGTGGAGCACAGAGGAAGGTGCATCCACCTTTTGTAAGGATTGTCATTCTCGCAGGAATTCAAGTCACACTGGGTTTAAGCACGCAGAGAGAGATTTCTCAGGTTTAATTTCCTGCACTGTACCTTCAGCAAAGATTGGGAAGAAGCCATTGGTGAGGAAATAGTTCGGAGGGACTATTGTCAGTGGTCCTCTATAAGACGGCCGACAGTGGGTTCTGGGAACTATATTCTCGGCTTTAAGAGCAATGCTCTTACTTAAATTTTCAGAGCGCATCTATTCCCAAAGAACCACGGGCAATAGTCAAACTCTGTGTTTATCCCTAAGAATTCTACCTTTATATATTGCATGGATGGAATATCAACTGTGCATAAATCAGCTTGTCAACTAGTGAGAAATTATGAAAGTTAATTTGAATGTTGAATGTTGCCATTATAGGAACGAAATCAAAACTTCATGTACTTTTCCTTCCATTTAATTATTTGAGACCTTAGGAAGAAATTGTTTTTCTGAGAATATTATGAAGTCTTTAATTTGATTTTAAACATTCACTTTGCAGCTTGGGGAATAAGCTAGTACATTTCGCTTCACTGTAAATTTAATGGGTAAGGTGCCTGTAGAGGAGACATTTTTAGAAATGGTTTTATAATGATTCTCAATGTTAATAAAAGTGCAGGGTGTTAAGGCAGAAATCTTTAAAGAAGGAGCATTTCCAGGGATAACAAAATAGAACCCCAAGACCAATTCTGTACCAGAAAGGTTTATGCTCTTTCTGCACCTGCTCGGTCCCCCAGCTGCATGCTCCAGGGGCTCAGACCCCCGAATGGGTTACTCCAAGGAGAGCTCTTCTCTAGGACAGTAGAGTCACACCAGAAGATTTCCTTATGTTGACCTGGATCTAAATGGAGTGTTTATCAAGTTTTCAATTTTTTTTTTTTTTGAGGCATTCACAACACATCAAAAAGAGATGTATTTACACCAAATGCGGCAGACCTCATTTCCTATAGCACAGTGTACAGATGAAAAAGTATGACCACCGTCTTTGGTTCTCATTATCTGTCTTCTCAGGGCTTTTCTTTATAGACATAGCACCAGAAATCCTTGCCGGAGGAGAGAGGGAATGACCTCAGAATATTTCCCAAGGACATCTGTCCCTCTGTCCCTACCTATCCTCCCAGGGACCATCCTGCCTGATCGCCCTTTTTTTCCCCCCTCAGAGGCCGGTCCTGAGACAAGATGGGGTGTGGCAACCACAGTGGCATTAATCAGCCTCATTTGGCTTCGCTCTCTCAGAAAATCCAACCTCCCCAACATGATCCCAAAGCTGCCAGACTCATGTCACAAAGCCTTAAAGATCATGGCGAGGGAACGGAGAGCCAAGTATCTGTAAACGTGAGAAAAAGGAAGGTCGCTAGGCAAGAGCCCGCATGTCCCAGGGGCTGGTATCAGTGAGGGCACATTACTGACAATCCCGGCAAGTAGCTTCTCACACTGACCCAGCAGGACAAATCAGACGGCTCCCTCTGTCATGTGGAGCACCCAGCATTTTATATCCACTATAGCTCTTGGGTTTAGTGATGCTGTCCTGACTGCTTCCCTCCAAATCTGTGTGCTGTGTTGGGTGTGCGAAGCCAGAACAGGGTTTGCTGTCATGGGTTCAGGCACGGTAGAAGTTTCTAGGGCTTTGCTCCTTTCCTGGTGGTGGTCTTTTTTTTTTTTTTTTTCCTCCAGAATAGAATACTGAGACAAGTTAACGGGAAAAAACAGCCTCTGTAAAGGAATGGGAAATCACAAACCACTATAAAGGAACATGCTTGAACATGAAATGTGGAACTGAATGTGAATATATCAAAAGCATAGAAATAAAATCTTTGCAGAAGAATCTTTATTTTTCTCTGAAGCGTGTAAAGGAATATTTGACAACTATGTCTAAGGTTGTACTCAAATTATCAATAAAAAGCATCAATAGAGCTTTTGAGTCCATCTCTGAAGATAGATTTTCGTTAAATGCTGGGGTGTTGGGAGGGTGGACACCTCGCTCCAGGAGCCTCCCTCGGGGCCTGAAGGGATCTCCTGGCCAGGCAGTGGCTGTTTTTATCTAAAAAGCAAACCATCCATTTAAAATCTAACAGTGACTTTCCTGCTGTATCAGCAAACTTTTCTAGTAAATGTTTAAAACAGAAGATTGAGTCAGGAAAAACCACAAGGATTCTCTGTGTAATGTTTCGGAAAATCTCAGTGACTTTGCATTGCTCTCATCGTGGGCGTGGTGACACTGCATTTCTTGAGAACTATTGCAGTGGCTGGAATGAGTAACAATGAGCCTGTGTTTGAGCAATCTGGAATGGAACATTCTTGGAGAACTCCTATACATATATAAGGCAAGCCGCACACCGTGATTGCCTGTTGGTGCCAAGCACCACAGTAAATGCTCTGAAGAAACACGAAGTTTCTAGGAGTGATGGCCCTGGTATTGACACTCATCTCCAGGGTGTAAATTAGAGACCTGATACTGTGGATAGAAATGAATAAGCACAGATGTGGAATGCTTATTTGAAAAGAAACAGCAGGTGTGGGGAAAAGCCAGCATCGTTGGTTGGGTGGTGTTATGTGCGCCCACCACCATCCTTGCTAGGCCATTCCTAGTACCATGGAGAGTATCAATGCTGGTTTTTAAAAGAAAGCCCTATTTCAAAACAACACTGAACCCATCGTCCAGTTACCTGCTGTGAATAACTGTCCAATCACAAATATTTAAAAGTTTTCTCCGCAGTTTGGATAATCATGCAAAAAAAAAGCTGAGAAGTATTGTCCGGGAAGACATTTGGCACACGGATGCATGGCTCTATCTTGGTGGGCCCACAGTGTTCCCTGATCTCATCTGAGGTGTAGACTGACAGAATCAACTTTGTTAGCATCAGAGGTAACTGGACCCCAGAAGACAGACTCACACGAGTCCAACTCATAAGAGAATAAAGTACAAAACGTAGAACATCAATTTAAATGTATATTTACAATGAGAAGCTCTTGTCCTGATCTTCACATGTGCTTTTCCATCTGCCTAGAATCTTCCCAGCCTCTTTCTTCACACCCTCTCCTCCCCGCTTTGGCTGGCCAGCCTCAGATCTCCATTTAACCAGCTCCCCCAGAACCCTTCTCTCCCCATCCTGGCCTTCAACTGAAGGTCCTTCCTGAATGTTCCCAGGGCCACACGACTTCCCACATCAGAGCTGTGTGGTGTTTTTCCCAGTGCCAGCAAATTCTCCACTTCTCCACACAGTAACGGGGTGTCCTACAAGTCAATTCGATTCTGACATTACCTGGAATGTCAGGCCCTACAGGTAAGAGCTCAGTTTCACCAGACCACCCCCACGTCACACATGGCCCAAGTCCCCAGTTGCCAGCTATACTGCTCATTGCGGTCCCCATGAGCCCCTCCTCAGGCTCAGTACCTCACTAGAAAACTCACAAAACTCAGGAGAGTGCTTTACTTACTATTACTGGCTTGTGATAAAGAATCCAAACTCAAGGATCGCCCGAATAGAGAGGTGCATGGGCAGGGATGGGGTGGGATTGGGTGAGTGTGCAGAGCTTCCGTGAGCCCTACAGGGGCACCACCTTCCCAGCAACAACTGGGAAGCTCTCTGAAACCCCTTGTTTAGGGGTTTCTACAGAGGTTTCATTAAGTAGGCATAATTGATAATATCATTGGCCATTAGTAATTAATTCCGTCTGCAGCCTTCTGGAGATGGTTAGGGACTGGGGCTGCAAGTTCCAGCCCTCTAATCATGCCTTGGTTTTTCTGGCAAGCAGCCGCCAGCCTAAAGCTGTCTGAGACAGCGCCCCCAACCACAGATAACTCATTAGCATGCAAAAGACATTCATCACTCCAGAGATTCCAAAACTTTGGGAGCTGTGTGCCAGGAACCAAATATATGTGTCTTGTATTTATTTATATTTATTATTATTTACTTGCCTATATATATATACACACACACACATATATGGGATATAAGGAACTGCATTTTGGAATTCTGAGCAAATCTACATGGAAAATCAAACTACAATGGAAAGCATCCTTGCTGAGCCTAGACTCAGTGCTCAGTGACTTAGCTCGATGTGTGGACGAGTGACCTCTGGACAGATGTATCATTTTCCATTACAAATGTACATCTGACACAGGCTAGGAACCCCTGGTCTCAGATCAGGTAACCTTACCTCAAAGAGTTAGTGAGCTATGTGGCCAAAGGACTGTACTTTTAAACTCCTGTTATGACTGCATTACCCTCCTCCCTCTCACTGCCCCAGTGAGCTCACCTGTACCCTGGCTGTTCCGAAGGCCCTCCAGCTGTACAAGCAGAGGCTCACTCCCCTGTGTTTCCTTTCTGTAGATGGTTTGTTTCATCCACAATTCTTGGATTTTTAAAATTCCAACCTCAGAGGGACTTCAATGGCATTTTTGAAGGATGCTATTCAGCATCAAATCTCCACTCAGTATTCTTTCCCTGGAAAGTTTTCCTTATGTGTTTATTTTTATTGTAAAACAGTTATTCCATTATTACATGCTTGTTACAGAAAATAAAGAAGGTGAAAAGAAAGAAGAAAAACCACCATCTAGAAATAATTGTTTTGCATCTTACATATTTCCATTTAAAAACATAGGATGAGCATCTACCTATGTCAATAGATTTCTACACTGACAGTTTTCCAGGACCTCATCATGGTCTCCTATATATATACTAATTAAGTTAGCAAG